ATAATTTTCAGTGAGATGGGGAGCCCATCCAAATTCCTTCTGTGAACGGAGCTTCTCAGCAATGTGTTACTGTGCATTTAGGATGGGATTTGGCCAAGGTGGAAATAAAACAACTGTTGACTTGTCTGCTAGCAGTGGTTTCTGTGATTTTTTTGTGTATTGGTGATATTTCCAGTGGGATTTAAGTGCTCCCATTGCCTCCCACTACTGTTTTGCTGAAGTAATTGTTTGATGGCTCGCAGCTTTGTCAGAATTACACAAACTTCTCACATGCTGGATTTTTGAACAAATATGTTGGTAAAAACATTATTTCTGAAAGTGAAAGTACGTTTGTTAAAATTGTAGTTGCGCTTTTCTCTTCAGAAATAATTGTCCTTTGAAGTGTTGGACGAGCAGAGGAGTCCGTCCAACACAAAAAGTTTGGTATGTCTATTCTGGTAAGACAGGACAATTTCATGAAGGTGCCCATCTTGAGGAAGTGTTTTTGCTTCTTGCACCTGCTCCAAGGTGGCTAAAGCAAGGACAGGAGGGTGGCTGGTGGCTAATGCCGGGTGGGCACAGGGACACTGCTATCCCGTGTCCCCGAGCAGGATGGCAGGAGCAGTTTTGGTTGAGGAGCGGGAGGCTTGAGCCGGGCGGAGTTAAAGGGATGGCTGAGCCGGGAGCGGGCACACGGGGATAACGGGGCTGTGGGCGCGGGGGCGGCGAGGCTCGGGCCGAGGAGGGGAAGGCTGCGAGGGGGCGAAGCCCCGGCAGTGCCACGTCGCACGGGAGGTCCCCGCGCCCCGGGCTCGGCGCGCGGCCCCTCCGCTCCGCAGCGAGGCCGCGGGGCCGCGGGGGATGCGCGGCCGGGGCGCGCCGGGGCTGCAGCGGCGCTTCCCGCCGAGCGCGGAAGAGGGAACCGGGCTCTGCTCGGGCTGTGCCGCCGCAGCGCAGCTTCGGTCGGAACTGCCGCTGCTACCGGGCCCGGGCGGCAGCCCGGGACATCGGAGCGTGGTTGTTCGAACTCCAAGTTGGCTTTGAGAAGTTTGCCTTTGGAGGTTTCGAGCTGGAATGGGGATTTCCGAGCTGTAATAACGTAGGGCATCGCGGATCCCTCTTAGACAGGCGCTGTAACGCGGTTTGTGTTTTGTATCCCCGATGCTGCTCTGTCGGTTCCGAGGGGTGATGTCTGATATCTGTCACTGCTGGGACATCTGGGGCAACAGTTGCGATCTCCAAATCCTAGAAAATAACAGTGTTTTATAGTGTGCAGGAAGAAGTTGCAATCTTTCTAAGAAAAGCCAAACGAGATCTTTGTCTAGAGTTGTTTGGGTTTTCTGGGTTTTTTTTTGTGGGGTGGGGGGGAGGCGGGGAGGGAGTATTTTAAATGCTGTATGTCTGGTGAACACTTCCAGAGATGCTACAAAAGAGGAACGTCCCTTTAGTTTCCTTCCTTATAGTTAAAAGTGGAATCCAGTAGCCATCTGTTGCTAGAGACAGTCAAAAGAGGATGTTGAAGCTCGTGCTCTGAGCACCCCACGCATGCGAAGGACAGCTCTGCTGTAGCAAAAAGGTCTAAAATTCAGCTGCTACTAGGAAAAAACGGTTGTGTGAGGATTCATCTGCTGATGCTTGGATACATGGAAAGTAAGGGAATTTTCCCTTTTCAGTTGCTTGCTAATGAAGTTTCCCACTGCTTCATACCTTGGATTTATTATTTCCAGACTGGTGGTTGTTGCTGGGTAGGCATTCTGCTGACTGTAGGACAAGACAAGGTACTCAGAGTGCTTTTAAAGTAATAATAAAGTCTCACAGCTTGCAGATTTATGATCCAGGTGGATGAGGGGAGGACTGGTCAGAAGTTCTTCAAAAAGAGATGGAAGCGGCTTTTCTTGTTGTGCATCCATACTTAAATATGGAGTGAGGAATGTGCTGCTTTTGTCATTGTGGGTGTTTGTGTGGCTGCAGCTTGTCAGGGAGTGTCAGAAGGTGTGTGCAGGAAGGAGATGGGCAGAACGGGCAGCGGGAAGGGATGTGTTCAGCAGGATTCTGTGCAGGGTGTGAGTCTGTGCTGCTCGATATGGTGCCACAAAGGCCACGGTATCAACAGCTGGAGAGTGGCAGCAGCTTGGGAAAGGGCTGTGGTGTGCAGTGTTTGGAAGGCAGAGTGATCAGCATGGCTAACTCCATTAGCTGTGTCTGAATCACTCCCTTTGATGGGGAGCAGGTTTTTTCTCTTCGTGCTTGTCAGAAACAAGGGCCAGGACCGTGAGTTCTGCAAAGTTGTATATAATGATGGTATTGATACCTCCTGGGATTTCAACCCAAGTTCCCGTTTGGAGGATGCAAATATTTGGCATTTTTTGATAGCACTCTTCAGCTGATAATTACGGCGTTATTAGCGCTGCGCTCACCGTTCTGCCGCGCACAAAGAGCCTTTATCTGCAGCCTGCTGCTGCACTGCCATTGTGTGATGGGAAGGCAGCTTTCCCTCTAAAATAATGCTCCAGATAATGCAACTGCCTGCTTGCAGGCAGAAGAGTGGTGCTGTTAAAAGAAGCACTTAATCATTTGCTGCGTTGGTAGGAGCAGCTGGCTGCTCCCCGCACGCCGTGAGAGCCGTTGTGTCTCTGAAGCACATTTCCAACTCAGTGGAAAGTTTGCTTCAGCAGAAACTCTTACAACTGTGCTCTGCTGTGCGTGCCTTGCTGCCTTTCTCTGCCTCTTGCTTGCTAAGCCATGTAAAAGACAGCAGGCTCTGCTCTGAAATTTAATTAGCATGTGATAATGTAATAAATGTACTGTAATGGAAAAAATGTAGTTGGCTTATTTGTCGTCTGATGTGTATTCTGTGTGTTACTTTGACAGAAATATTGGTGGGAGAACTGCCATTTTGTAATGCCCTTTTTGATGCACAGAGTTGTCTCCCAGTTTTTAGTAACAGCAAATGTCTGCCTTCCTCATTTAAATGATCATACAAATGTATGTACATTTGGGTTTTTGTTAATCAGTGGGATCAAGCTTGTTGTTTCCAAGGCTATATTACTTAACTTTGTCAGCAGATGATTTTAACAGGAGAAAGTTGTCTTTTTATAAATATCCGAGATAAATTGGTGTCAAAAGGATCATTTATGTAACTACACTGCTGTATTTCCTCCTCAGATGAGTTGTTTCAGACTCATTAATTTGCACTTCAGTGAAAGTATGATTTTTAAGGTGATTTAGTAATAAAGATAGATTTGGGGATCAGCTTCTGGAGTCGTTTGTGGGGAAAACCTCTTTCCTGTCTTTAAAAAAATTCTGAAAATCACATATTAAATCTGCTGCATGAAACCAGCATGTGGAGCGGGAAGTTATGATCCTGGCTGAGGGGATGTCAGGTCACTTTTGTATTAGAATAAATGCTGGTGATGGCATATTTAATGGGATATAATAAAAATACCAGCCAGTTTTAATAGCCTCATAAAATTTCAGGGTGTTTCCTACTGTCATTTGCAGCCTATTTATGTTTGTGCTGAAGGGGAATGTTGATGTTTTATGGTGGTTGAGGAGGAACACTGGATATGGGGATTAATGGGGCTCAGCCTGGTGTCCCCAGCCTTGGGTGGGCAGTGCTGGGAGCTGTAGGCTGGGCTGGGCTGGGCTTGCACCTCTGGTGGCACCAGAGCTGCCCAGCACCTGAGACATCCCTCAGCCTCTGCTCTGGGGATGTAAATGAGGCAAGGGGTAAATGGAATAAACGAGGCAAGGGGTAAATGGAAGGGTTGCAATGGACAGACAACCCTTGTCTCTGTTCCATGGTATTTTTTGGGTTGTGGGGAGCTGGTTAAGTGAGGAAATAAACTGAGTGACAGTGTTCTGTACTAGGCTCAGCAGAATGGACACTAGGGCACTCGTGCAGGTCCTCCCTTCAGAATCAAATTTTGGTTTTGAAGTTAAGGTTATAGGAGGAGAGTGCAGGGAAAAGGGGACTAGAGGGGGCAGGGTTTGCAGGCTGACAAGGAGGAGAGGGGGCAGAACATGAATGGAAGGGTAGAGTTGGGCTGTGCTGGGTGGGCTGGAAGTGAGAGGAAGATGGGGGAAATGATGACCAGGGAGGCTAGAGAATGGCCAGCAGTAAAATGGGAGATCAGTCAAAGCAGCAGAAGAGAAGCAGATTGATCTGTCCCGGGTTTCTGGAAGGAATTATTCTGGCCTTTGCTCACCACAATTTTTTTTTTTTAAGGTTTTCAAGGGCCTTTTTCTGCACTGGCTCATTGAAACACCTGCTTTCCAAAGTAATCATTAGTGTCCCCTTCAGATTTGGCTGGAAATGAAACACTGGAACCCAAATGTTGCCCCCTTCTGTTGTGTGCTAAGCCATGCTCGGAGGGGGAATGGCCTGGCTCTGCAGGCACAGCAGCTGCACACCCAGGGCTGCCACCCCTCTCCAAGGGGAACACAGCAGTACATCCCAGCTCCTCACAGGCTTTTGTGCTCTGCTGCAGTACACTTGGCCATTCCCACTCCAATCTCACAGATTTTACTGAGATTAGATGCCCAAACACTTTGAGTCAGGTTTCTAAAACAAATTTTTCGAGTTCTGATCAAGAACCACATCCTTTTGCATGAAGCGGGGCAAACAGAGCGTTAGCTCGCTGTGCTCCTGTCACATGTGAAGGCTGCAGCTGTGGTTTGGAGACAATCCTTAGGCTCTGGCTCCTGACCTTTAAGCTAGCAGAGCTTCTAGAACAAAATCCCCTCCCTAACAAGGCAGGAGAGATGTTCATTCATTTAGAGCAGTTGGTAAAACAAACAGGCTCCACAGGTCCCTACCAACCAAAGCTCAGGAGCCTCTGCTGTCATGCCAGTATTCTGCAGGGCTTTAACCTCAGCTTTACTTCCAGTCACTAGCTAGAAAGAACATCTGCTAGTGTGTATTTGTATATAAATATATATTAAAAATATATATATAAATATATATATGTGTGTATTTCTGCATTGAGAGTTTTTTGAGATACTTAGTGAGTATTAGTTTCATGGTGAAAGAAGGGTTTTTAAAAGCAGAGCTTAAGCAGAACCAGATCCAGATTTCCAGTAAGTTGGTAGGGAGAAATGAAGGAGTTATAAATAGAAGCTGTACTGGTTGCAGTAAGAGTTTTGTGCATCTCTCCAGTGCACAGTGACCTGAAGTGCAGCTCTCATCCTTCTGACTTCCCTCCTGGGTTCCCAGGGCATTTTGTGTGTGAGAGGAGAGGAGAGGAGAGGAGGCTGAGCACTTTATGTCTGTGTTAGAGTTTTTCAGATAAGCAACAGCATTCCTGGAGTTTTTCCAAGTAATGGGTTTTCTGGAGGGTTTTTTGCCATCACCAGCCTCGAATGAAATGCGAGGGATAGAGAAAATAGCAATTGTATTCCATCTTTCCTGTCTGTGAGAAGGCTGGCTGGCAGATCAGATGTGGGCACAGTCCAGTACACCTTATAAAAGGAGAATTTCAGGGCTTGGAAACAGTAAAATCACCCTCTTGCCCAAAACCAGGCTGACTCAGTGGAGTGATGCTCTTCTGCTCTGTCTTTCCTCCCATTAGGCTAGATTAATGTCTTGGACTGGTTCTCCTGCTAAACAAACCATTATTTTTCTTTCTCTCTCAGCTTTTACTGAGCATCCAGCTTCCATTGATGATTCTTTCTTAAAGATAAATTTCACTTGTGTGACTGGCCAGAAGTTCCTTTAGAGAAGCCAACACTATTGACAGTGCCAGGGCAAAATGTGGACATTGTGTGGTCGTGGTGCTCCCCAGGCAGGAGGTGCTTGAACCCCTCTAGAGCAGTGACAGTGCCTCCTTACCTGCTCATGAATTTTGTGGCTGTAAGGAATCTTTGCCTCCTTACAGGCAAAGCAGAATTCAAGTGTCTCTATGTGTGTGTGTGTGCTCATTTTCTGGTTTATGGTTTTACCTTTAAAGAGAGCAGCTGAAATCAGGGGTGCAGGGGGAAATGGGGGAGACATCCACGTGGCTGATACTTGTCTTTTTCTAAAGAAGATGCTGTTTTGTTCATTTTATTTTTTTTCCAGAGATAAATGATGGTGAGGGCCACCCAAGCAGCAGCCACCAAGCCTTGAAAGGAACCTCGAAATGGGCCACGTCACTGGAGAGCCTCCTGGAAGACCCGGAAGGAGTGAAACGCTTTAGGGTCGATATATTAAACATGGATATTCACAAAAAGCAAAATTCAGGGTTGAAGGCAGAACGAGCCTCAGCATGAAGGTGCAGCTGTGCCAGCACTGTGAGCAGAGGCACACATCCCTCTAGATATGTGTCCTGAGCAGAGCTGGGGCTGTGCCACTGGCAGAGCTTCTGAGGTGGCACTTCTGCCTCTGCCCCTGCAGCCTGTGCTCAAAAGGCACGGGCAAGACTTTTGGCTGCACCTTCCTCATGGGATCTACCCTCTCTTGAGAGGATTAACAATAACCTGCAGTCCCTGGGCCACTGATCCCTCCTGCCAGGCATTATTTATCACTGAGGTCCTGGGCTCTCGCTTCTCACACGTTGTCCTTAAGCCACGAGTTACCAGGAGCAATCTGATGACTCTGGGGCTCTCGCTCTGTGTTTAGCAGCTCTACTGAAAATATTCCCTTTCAGTTTACTACAAAGTGTGGGCTGGTGCAGCTCAAAATGGCTTGAAGTTTAATTAGGTGAGGGTGGTGAGTTGGTGTTTCAAGGCCTTCTTGCCATGTTAGATGTAAGAATAGGAACTGCCTACTTCAAAGTGCTTTTGCCATGCTGCACTGATAAAGTGCACTGGGATAAAATGGTTTCCTGCCAGACTGGTTTGAAAAGTGAGGTAAACAAGAATAACAAAATGCTGATTTTAAATGCTTTAAAAAAAAAAAAAAAAAAAAAAAAAAGTAATCTTGGTCAAACCAAAAATAAAAGTAATCTTGGGACTGTTTAATTCCTGGCATTACTTGGTCTCTCTTTTCTAACACTTGAAAGAGAAAACTGATGATCTCAGACGTAAAAAGGTTCATCATTATATTTCATAAATAAATTTAATGTACATTTTTCCCCTTTGAAAGCATGCCTCACTTTTGGAGGAATGTGCTGTGTTTAAACAGCATAGAGAGCACAGCTACATCTTCTGCTTCAGTTTGTTTAAGTGAATTTATTGCCACTGATGATCCCGTTTAGAAACACTTTCATTTGTAGAGATTTTACTCAAGTCAGAAAATGACAAAAGTCAATTACAAAAGTCAGAAATGTGCTGCATGAGAATCCCAAGTGATTTGTGACTCTCATTTAAATGGTTCATTTCACTCACCTGGGAATGAATTCATGCCTTTTTGGCTTTCCCTTTGAGCAGTGGCTGTAAAAGTGCTGGAGTTATTTAAGGGAGGCTGAAGAAGCTGTTCCTGTTAGTTACTGATATGGTCTGAGATTAGATGGAGCCCATCCTCCTCCTGGAATGTGCTCTCAAAGAGCAGAATATCCAAGTGTTCCATGTCAGTCCTGCAGATGCAGGGCTTCTGTGACTCTGGGCTGGGTAAACCCATGGTAAAGTTAATTGTAGGCAGCTCCCAGGTCTATCAGCTATGGTAGGAAGAGGGAAAAACAGCTGAGAAATTGGATCCTAACCTTTGTGTGCTTGTTTTTTCTCTTTTCTAGGAATTTTTAAAGAAAGAATTTAGTGAAGAAAACGTTTTGTTCTGGTTAGCGTGTGAAGAATTTAAGAAAACACAGGGAAAAAAGCAGGTATGTTTCCTAAATAAATTCTACTTGTCAACAAAGTTTACTTAGCAGAGCTGGAGCGAAAACATCTCTGTTGCATAATGTGCTTTGCGTGAATGCAAATAAATTTATTTGAAGAAATTGCACTAAAATCATCCTGGTGGAATTGTTTGGAAACAAAGCTGGTTCTATTTCAAATCAAAACAAAGTGCTGAAATTGTCAAGTTTCCCATGTTTTGAAAACGGAACTTTTTGTAGTTTCTAGGGAGTAGAAAAAGTTTTATTAATTCAGTGATGTTGCATCATCTTGTTTGCAAATATAAAGATATTTCATTCAGAACTTTTTTAGAGCATAGCAGCTATTAGATGGAAATTTACACCACTGTGACTATCTTAGTGGAACATAAAAATAACAAATGGCCCAAACAAAATTATTTTACAGCACCAAAATGAAACATTTTGCCTTATCAAATTACAAGTTACAAAACATAAGGGCCCTGTTTAAACTTTTTTAATTTAAATATTTATCTAAATTGATGTATACCTGCAGAGTCTTCTCATTTTGATGGCAGCTCTACCTTTCCAGTAGGAAATATTCTATTGGAAAATTTTTCAACCAGGCACCTTCAGTAAGTTTTTTTTTTTCCCCCACTGCTTGGATCTTGGCTTACACTTAGATCCACCAGGAACACAAGATCCACTTTCACATTTAGACTTTGAAGCCCACAGAGTCAGGTCTAAAATATGTACCATGTTTTGTTTGCTTGTTTCTCAAAATGGTTTTTGTGTCTGTTTTTTTTTTTTTTGTTTTGTTGTTTTCTTGAGAAATTTCAAATTTATCTGCTCTTTAAGAGCTCATTCTGTGAGTATGAAATTAAGTAGTATCAAAACTCCGAGTGAGTATCCCTGCCCTTGAGAGTCAGACTCCTGAAGCTCTTTTTTTTTTTTTTTTTTTTTTTTTTTTTTTTTTTGACATCCACTTTTATGCCTTTTACCTGAGTGCAGCTCTTGTTGCCAAAGGGCACATTTGGCACCATGAAGAGGTGAGAGTGGGGAAATGCCTTTAAACCTCTTCCAAGTGGCCACCAGGGCACACTGCTGGCTCGTGTCCAGCCTGCTGTCACCAGTGCCCCCAGGTCCCTTTCTGCCTGGGCACTGTGCAGCCACTCTGACCCCAGCCTCTAGCATTGCAGGGGTTATTGTGGCCAAAATGCAGGACTGGGCACTTGGACTTGTTAAACTTCATCCCACTGGATTCTGCCTATCCATCCAACCCTTCCAGGTCTCCCTGAGAGCCCTCCTACCCTCCCACAGATGGACACAGCTCCCAGCTCAGTGTCACCTGCAATTACTCATTAAATTTATTTATTTTATTTATGAAATTTACTGATGAAAGCCTCAATCCCCTCACCCATGTTGTCAGTAAAGACATTGAGCAGAGCTGGCCCCAGCACCCAGGGCTGTGCCTGGCCCCAGCTGGATGCAGCAGCGCTCACCACCCCTCTCTGGCCCGGCCATGCAGCCAGCTCTGAGCCCAGCACAGAGTGCTCCTGTCCCACCCTGGGCTGCAGCTTTTCCAGGAGTGTGCTGTGGGATTAGATGTGCTTGGAGGAATGTCAGAAATGCCCAGGAATAGCAATCAGATGGGAGAGCTGGGCTAGGAGAGGTGCTATGAACTGCAGGTGTAAGAGGGCTGTGTCCAGACTGCAGACTCCTCTCTTAAGGTCAGTCACATATTGTCAGCTTAAACAGTTTCCCAGCAGATTTTCAACAACAAAAAATTTCCCTGTCTCCAAACAATGTATTTTGGGTAGGGGAGTTTACTTTCTGTAAATATCCTGAGTTTTGCACCAAAAAAAAATTCCCTTCAAAACAATTTTGCTGGGTTTTAGATGTGAGTATTTTTTGGGCATTGATAAATCCATAAAAATACAACAAAACCAATTTTTTTTTTTTGCAAGGAAGAGGGAAATGTTCAATCTGTCTGTGAACTTTGTGACATTTAGTAATTCCAGTTTTGTGTATTCAGCTGCTTCCCTCCCTCATTAAGGTCCAGGAATACAGAAAGTCTTGAGGAAAGAACAACCAGTCAGTCGACTTTTCTGTAAAGTCCCACGCTTTCAGTGGGATAATAATCATATTTTCCCTTGCTAAATAATTTCCATATTTCTAGCTGATTTAGGATTGCTAATTTAGGATGCCAGTAGAGAAAATGTTAAAATGATGTACAGGAATAGGAGCTTGGTGAATCCTTCAATGAATTTCCAAATTAATGGACAGAGATTTGACTAGGTTTTATTTAGGTTAATTATCCAGTACCAGTCATTGCATAGTATGGTCAGCCTGGAGTCTGGGGCTGCCCAAATTATTATAACTGCCTGAATAAATGTGCTTTAGAATGACACAGACTTACAGTAAATTTTTGTAGCTACTGCTTATGCTTTGTTTAGATAATTTACAAAGCTAGGAAAAGCACTAAAAATAGAAATCTTTCCAGTGTTTATGGTAGCATGAAGTGTGGATTTTTCTTCTGAAAGTGACTCTTGCAGAAGTCCCTTTGCATCTCTCTGTTGTGCTCACAGCGTTCTAAAAACAGCCTTTTACTTGTTTTGCAGTTCACTTCTCCTTAAAACTGGTTTCCCACACAGATTTGCTCAGAGACACTGAGGCTCTTGGTCAGATGAAGCTGAAATCAGTTCAGCCCAGGCTGGAGGGAGTCCAGGGGAGGCCACGGAGATGCTCCAAGGGCTGAAGCAGCTCTGCTCTGGAGCCAGGCTGGGAGAGCTGGGGTGTTCAGCCTGGGAAGAGAAGGCTCCAGGGAGACTTTCCAGTGCCTAAAGGGGCTTGAGGAGAGCTGGGGAGGGACTTTGGGCACAGGGATGGAGTGACAGGACAGGGAAATGGCTTCAAACTGACATAGGGCAAGTTTAGATTAGGTACAAGGAGGAAATTCTTTACTGTGAGGATGGTGACACACTGGAACTGGTTTTCCAGAGAGGTGATCAATGCCCCATCCTTAGAAATGTCCAGTGCCAGGCTGTATGGGGCTCTGAGCAGTCTGATCTGGCTGGAGATGTCCCCTATCCCTGCAGGGGGTTGGAAGTAGCTGAGTAAATAATTTCAAAAAGTAATTTCAAACTTACTTTATTTCAAAATTACTTTGAAGTCATTTCAAACGCAAACCATTCCATTATTCTATGAATGGGATTTCTCCACCCCCCTCTTTTTAAAGGATGAGATAAACTTTTCATTACTTTTCATTACTTGAGGTGAGAGCACTGGCCTGGGGTTCTACTTGGTCAGTCTAAACTTGCCTGAAGGTCACCACATGAGCAGTGGGTCAAGCATCCCTCGTGCCAGGGATATTTCTGGTGATCCTTTCTCTGCCAGCCTGGGGCAGTGTTTGGGTTTGTACATCCATCAGAGTGGATGATTCAGGGAGCAGGGGAGATCTTTGGCAGCTGCAGAGAGAGGCAGCAGGCAGAGTTCATTGCTGGTCTAGGCAGGCTTTAGATGGTTCAGCCATCTAAAAACCCAGATGGGTTCAGCTCATCTTCAGCAGAAAGGTACAAAGCTCCCCCTCAGCTCAAGACACATCTCTGTAGCTAAAAAAACCCACCACCAACAACAAAAAACACCCCAAAAAAAACCAAAACAAAACAAAACAGCAAAAAATGGATATTCCTTTAAAACTGAAGTTAAAATACAGATTTAATGCTTGATGAAGATTGAGAAAGCAATGGGGTCAAGCCCACTTGTAGCAGTGAGTTCTGCTGCCACCCGTGTGGCCCTTGTGTTAGGGCATGTATTTAATTACTGAAATGGGAGTGCTGGGGATAAGGGAATAAAACTTAGCTTTAAATATTTTGTTGGAGACAGTTATGTGTTGTTGCATTTTGTGACTGTTAATGAAATAAACAACATGTCAGTCATGCTGCTTCCCAGGGTTTAAATGTTTCTCCTCTTGCAGCCGAGCTTCAAAAATAAATTACAGATTGTAATAAATGCTTCCAACAACAGGGAATACTTTCAGCTATTGCTAAAACCCACCAAAATATCCATGTTGAAGTTTTGTAGGGAATGATTCCAGAACAAAGTCCCGCACATTCAGGAGTTTCTTCTGTTGCTTCCCATGTGGAATGCAGCAAGGGTTTAGCAGGGCTGGGTAATGCTGCACAGCTGCTGAGTGCTGGAGCCTGGTCTGGAGAGCATCTGGGGCTCCCATTCACCTCGTTTGGGAGCCACACATGCCTGGGAGCTGGGCTTGACCTTAGGAAAGGAAGTGGGGAAGAATATTGGATCCACTGGAAATAGCAAGGGGGATTACTGTGGACAGAACTTTGTACTCCAAATGGGAATCTGGCAGGTACACTGGGGAGAGCATACAGATGGAACTGGGGACTGCCAGAAATCCTTTAAAAACCACCTGTGAACAAGATCCCAGTTTAAGAGCTGTTTCAGTTCCAGAGCTGGGTCCCCTGAGCTGAGGCTTTCGTTTCAGGCTGATGCAGAGCAGAGAATGTCACCGAGTGAACAGGGACAATCTCTGCCTCCTCCACCTGAACCTGGCTCTGCCTGAGTGACATTTGGGGGGTGTATGAGCACACTGGCAGCTTTAACTGTTCTTTCTTTTTAAAGCAAATTATAAGCTGTAGTTAATCAGCTGCTGAAGCACAGACGTAGCAGAGCAGTTCTATTTGCAGCAGAACCTGTAACTTTCAGCTGTGCATTTCCAAATTTCCCCACTGCTATAAAGCCAGGTCCTCTGTGTCTCTGCAATGGCCTCCTCTCCCTACCACAGCTCTTTCACTTCCTTTCTTTGCTATTCTTCCTCACAAAATCCAAAGAGCCTCCCTGTTTCAGCAGCCTCCCACACAATCCTGTTGTTCCTCTCCATGCTCTTTAAACTTCCTCACGGTTACTTCTAGTTTTGTGTTCCCTCTCAAGCCTCCCTCTGCCCTTTCTCTGCAGTGCCCAGCTTGCTCCAGGGTCCTTGGGCAAGCAGCCCCTTGTGCTGGGGGTGAGGAGCTGCATCTGCCTTGATTAGCCAGCAGCAAAGAGCATCCTGGCAGTTCCAGCAGAGCAGGGAACTTCTGGCTGCAGCTTTTCCCTTGCTGCTTGTGCTGCTTTTCCTCTCCCTTTCTTTTCTCCTGCTGATCTTCCCTTGACTCAGCAGGAGGGTAATTTTTTTTTTCTCAGTCCTTTGCCCCTCTCTCAAGTATGGTTGAAATTGGACAGCAGGTTCAAAATTCGTTTGGGTGGGACTGGCAATGCAATTGCTGATGCAGTAACAGCTGAAGGCCCCTTTGCTGTGCCCTCATTAGGACATTAACTTTTCCACTTGTAGCAGTCACACCTTTGATCCCTTGGATTAATTGGTCATTTAGAACAGAAGTGGCTGACCCAGTCCTCCCTGAGCTGTGAAACAAGTTGGAAATTGTTAAAAACAGTTCATTGTGACCTAATGCACTTGACACGTAATGTTCTACCCACCAGAAGAATAATGATTTTTAAAAAGGAATACTAGAGCATGGGTGTCCCCTTCAGCAGGGAGAGAGCCCCAAATCTTTAGGCCTCCTGAATGCTGAAGCACACGCAGCTTTCCTTCTAATTACCCCCAGTGTAAATGTACCTCAGCTGTAAAACATGGAAGTAATTCTGAGACTCCTTCATGGGCAGGATTTAAGTGCTTCCTTCTTCAGGCCCCATTCCCATCAAAGGCACAGCCCTGGAGCTGGTGTGGAGCTGTGGATGCTCATTAGAAATTCCCTGGGGACACTGGTGAGTGCCCAGGGCTCGGGATGGCCCGGAGCAGCTGCTGCTGGCTGGCTCTCAGCGTGCAGAATTCAGATTGCAGCAGGGGCCTTGGCTCTTGCCTGGCTTGGTTCTCTTCTCGGGCTTCCTCTTATCCAACAATCTGTTAGGGGCCTTTCCTTGAACTTCAGGGGATTGTGGCCACTCACTGCTTTGAAGCTTGAAGATGCTGGTGGGGTCAAGATGTTACTGGTTTGACAAGGGAAGAGTTCTGAAACAGGGCAAATACCAACAAACAGCTTTGTGCAGGTCAGGCCCTTATTTATCAACTCTCAGAGGCTATTGAAAATCTTCTCTTTGCCAATTAGCCAAGCTGGTGTTTTTTTCACTTAATTTTCCCTTGTAGTAAGCTCCCAGTTTTTCTTCCTCTGGGTTTCTTGCCCATACTGATGCTGATGATCTGTTAGGAAAAACATTTGTCTCAAAAGCAAAGACAAGGTGTAATTGATGATGCTGAGCAGTTTTACACTGGCTGCTGAAGCATCCCAACCTGCTGAATTCTGGCAGCTTTCACTGATGGCAGTGTAGCTTTTGGCCTGCAGGGGTGTTCCTCTTCTACTACAAATGAACATACACAAGTGAGATAAACCTGATGCAGAGAACATTCCCACAGCAAATAATTCTTTAAATAAATGTCCTTTTGCAGATGCAGGAGAAAGCTAAAGAGATTTACATGACTTTCCTGTCCAGTAAAGCTTCCTCCCAAGTCAATGTTGAAGGGCAGTCCCGTTTGAGTGAGACCATCCTGGAGACACCTCACCCTCTCATGTTTCAGAAGCTCCAGGACCAGGTAAAGTTATTTATTTCAATAACACAGTTTCATTCATTTTTGTCTGGTTTTAATGAACTCTGCTTTCTAGCCATGATCGAACAGGTAAGCAGGGTTGGTCCACGTTGGGGGTATTAATGCAGCTGCTCTGAGATATTCAAGGTTCTTGGCCCCAATTAATTAAGAGACTCAATACAATCATTCTAATTCCAGCTCAGGACTTTCCTGGAAAACTGGCTGGAGTTTTCTCCAGGGTTCCTGCGTGGGTAGCTTGAGAATCGCCCTGACTAACTCGGTGCCTTTGTTTTCCTGTGTATTCACTTGTTCTGAGTCATTGCTGATGTTTGTTTCTGTAGTTGCCCCTGGTTTCCTTGAGAGCTCAAATTTCTTCATTTTACTTTGCTTTGGTATTTATCTTGTTATGAATATAGCACAATTTTCTGAAAACCCTCCTCTTCTGCAGTGTGCAAGACTTAGAGGAGTTGGTCTCTGCTTTGCCTTTCCCTAAAGAACTTGGGAGGTCTGGTAGAAATTAGAAATTTTGCAGGCATGTCTTCAGGTGGTAAATTTTCTTGATATTCAGCTGATTTCAAAGCATAAGTTATGAAGTGAGTCATTCTTATCTGCAGCTTTCCAGCACTTGCAGTACTATTTTTAATTCCTGTACCATCCTCAGGACTACCTGTATTTTCCATTTGGCTCTTTCCTTTTGTGGAGAAACAGCTCAGTGATTTAAACAGTGTTTTCAGCCCCTTTCAATCAGGTATTGAATACAATGGCTGGGCACTTGGAGGGGTCTAAGGAGCAAAGGCTCTGCTGTTTTTCAGGCAGATTCCAAGACATTAGTAGTGGATATACCTGAAATCCAATTTCCATGTGAAGAAATAGAGTTTTTAATGGAAAAAGTTCTGACTTGGGGAAAGAGAAGGAACTGTTCTGGTAGATCTAAGCACTGCAGTTCAGGGTGAGTGACTGTAAGAGTGAAGCTGGAGAGAATACTGGAGATAAAATATTTGTTATTTTGTAAATGACATGCACATGGAGAGCCAAGGGTTGGTAATACCTGAACTGGAAACATACTGGACTAGTGGTGGAGGAATCCCTCTAGTGTGGGAAGAAAATCTGTGAGCTTTTAAAAACAAATGCAGAGCATTTATGGGTCATTGCAAGTTTCCAGCGCTTGAAGCTACTGTTTATTGCTGTTAGATAATGGCTCAGAAGAGTTATGGTCTTCTCCAGTTTTCAATCCTTATAAAGTTATGGAGAGTGGTGTAACTTGTTCTCTGAAGAGCAGTGTTAAGCACTGCTGGCACTGTGGGTCTGGAGGAGAAAAAGGCAGAGCTGGAAGGACACAGCCTGGAGTACAGCAGTGCTGCTAACAAGAGCTGCAGCTCTCCAGAGAGCCCCTGATTTAACTGGGGACACCATGGGGTGTGCCTGCTGCTCTTGGGGTGGCCCTGATTTAACTGGGGACACTGTGGGGTGTGCCTGCTGCTCATGGCAGAGAGCCCCTGATTTAACTGGGGACACCGTGGGGTGTGCCTGCTGCTCATGGGGTGGCCCTGATTTAACTGGGGACACTGTGGGGTGTGCCTGCTGCTCATGGGGTGGCCCTGACTGCCCCAGGCCATTTGTTTGTGCTGAATGAAGTGAGAGTGGTTCACAGAAATCCATGTGCTTCAGAATCCTTGTGGGGAAAAGAGGGTTCTGCTTTGGTACATGATTATGAGCTCTGCTCTTTGTATTTGCCTGGCCAGACTGCAGAAGATCTTGACCTTCAATGCTCTTTCTCTCTGGGAGATGCTTTAAGTGATACCAGGAACAAGAGGGGTCTAAGTTCTTAAACAGGCATGATGTTTTAATGGGAAATGTCTTCCTTACCTTTTTTTTCCCCCTTGAACTGGTAGGATAAATTTAATTATATTGTAGTTAGCCAGTGCCAGGAGGTATAATTTGACTTTGCTTGAGTTAGGAAGAGTTCAGACCGTGAAGATCAGGCTCTACACAGAGTGGGTGTTTTGGGATTTTTTTTTCATATTCCAATATGTATCTTAAAGAATAATACTTCCACAGTTTTAGACAGTAACTTAAATGCTTAAATATGTAAACAAACACTGGTTAGTAAAATCCACCATGTAACTTACTTGTAAAAGAGCTATTTCAGCAAATGCACAGACAAGAACAGTCAAATCTTAGGTGTTTGCCTGTATCTGTCCAGGTTCCTCGAGGATGTGGAATGAAAAAGCAGTTTGAGATTGTTTTTTCCCTCCTAGCAAAGACTTGTGTTTCCTGATTGTACTGTCAGTTAGAAATGAGACCTGTAAAGGTAAAGATGAGTTATCCACCCTGGAATAGCAACATCTGCAGGTGAGAATCCAGGAATTTGTCTTGGAAACTCAGCTATTCTGAGTATCAAAAAAAATCTGTCCTGAAACATGACTCAGAGAGGCTCAACCAGTGAAATAATAGACTGAGGGTGAGGCTGGCTTTGGTTTTGCCTCAATTACAGTTTTGAAGTTTACTTTTCTCCCCTTCCCTTCTGTTTCAACACCAAGCAAAATATAGTCCTGACCTTGACACCTGAACAGATTCCAGGCTCCTCTCCCAACCCTTTTGTTTTCAGACAACTCCAAAAGAGTTGTAGGGTTTTTTTATCTGCAGTAGGTATAAATAGAAGAGCAGAAGTTATGCTGAGGGGTGAGCCTGAGCTCAAGCCCTGGGAGGTTAAAGCTGTACTTGGGGCTGACTTTATGTTTCCATGCTGGCTGTGAGAAACCCTTGGCCTGGTGAAAAGTGTAATTACACAAATTTAATCCACCAGCAATTTAAACCCACATTTCAACTGGCAAAACACATCTGTACCAGGTCAGCTCTTTGTGGCAGGTTCCTGCAACATTTCTCATCTGGTCTGAGACCAGTCTTGGCATTTTGTCTAACAAGGGCGGGAAGATTTGTGTAGGTTTAAGGAATATTGGCTAATCCAGTTGTTTCAAAGTTTGTGTAAATTACTCAGAGGCTTTCCTTAGTTATCCAGTGCTCTGCACAGTTACTCTGCAGCACTCAGGAGTCACTGCAGCCAGGAAGGTGCACAGAAGGTGCCTCTCTTCCTTCAGAGCTCTGCTTTGTCCCTCTGAATGCCTTCCAGACACCCTGCCAGGAGGATCTGATCATCTCCTCCCTGACCCAGCCATCCTCTCACCTTCAGTATCAGGTGTGCAAGGTTGGCTATTGTGAAAAGTATAATTTGATTTTTAAACCACTGTGGATGTTACTGCCAGGCAGTGACCATGGAACCAACATTGTTTGCTACATGCTGCCCCTTGGGGAGCTGGAAGTGTATTTTTTAAACGTAATGCTCTAGTACGGACAGAACGAAAGTACATTGGAATTAAAGCATCCTTCACACTTAAAATCTCATTTTGCTGAGCTCATTTGCTTTGTGTTCTTTTCCCCCTCTTCCCAGATATTCAACCTCATGAAGTATGACAGCTACAGCCGCTTCCTGAAGTCAGACATCTTCCTAAACCATCAGAAGAGCGAGGAGCAAGAGGAGAGCTCACCAGAGGCTCAGACTGCAGCTAAAAGAGCATCAAGAATTTACAACACATGAGACACAATGGATCCCTTCAGGAGAGGCCATACAATAAGGGAATTACACTCAGGAACAGTCTAGGTTTATAGCAGTTGCATTTAGGGCTTGGAAAGCTCAGAACCTTTTTAGGAGATACTTACCTTCTTAATTGCTTGAATGACTAATTGTTTTTGCATGATAGCTATTAACCAAGCACCCATGGAAGGACTGTTTCCCAGCTAGAAGGCTGAGGTATTCCTCCATAGCATGAATTGCCTTTCATACTTCACAAGTTAAAGTGCTTTCAATTCTTTTATTTTCCTTTGTGAGGCATCTTGGTGATGAGAAACAGGAGATAGTGTGGTTGGGTTTTTATTTTTGCCTTGTAATTTTTATTTGGGACTAGCTTTTACATCCTGAACTGCTGGGAGAAGCAGTTGAGGAGAGCATTTCTCATTAGTTTGTGGGTGAGTCATTCACAGCAAATTTAATCATAAAGGGACAGCATCTTTCAGGGTTAAGCTCAGTAGAATCCAATCCCTTCCTGTGTGACTTTGTTCTTTCAGTGATGTCTGTTTTGCTTTGCCTTTACTGCTGAATCAAAACACTTCCCTAGTCATGATTTTCATTTTTGTATCTCCTAGATTTCCCCCTTTTTTTCTTTTTTTTTTTGCAGTAGACAATCACCTTCTTCAGGGGATGGGATACCCTCAGTTCCCTTGGAAACAAAGGCTCTAAAAGAGACAGAATCTCTGAGGAACTCCTGCCTGCCATTAGGAAATGTGACAGCAAATAAGTAAATATCCCTCTCAGGGCACACTGATCCCAGCAAAGCTTGGCTTTGTCCCTCACACCAGTGTGACATCAGATGCTGCTATCAGGAAGTGTCTGGTCTCTCCCAGGTCTCCTGACCAACCCTGCTTTGTGCAGCAACAGCTTTGGCAAAGGACCAACAAACCAAATCTGGTTTTGTTTTACTTTTTTTTTTCCCTGCTAAAATCACCCTGCAGAGTTTTGTTTGCCCCACGCAAATCTTTTTTTCCTTTTTTTTTTTTTTTTTTCCCTGCTAAAATCACCCTGCAGAGTTTTGTTTGCCCCATGAAAATTCAGGGTTTCCTAGTTGTGATTTTGGAGAGCTGCAGAGGAACAGGGAGTTGGGTTTGGGGTTCAGCCACTCTCACATCAAGCTCGAGAGCAAGGGGAATTAATTTCTGCCCTGTGTAATGAAAGGTTGGTGGAGAAAGACATTCCCAATGTTGTCCTGGGAATGTCAGCACTGCAAAGCCCATTTTGGCATGGGGTTTTTGATGTGTTCATGTATTTTTGATTAATTCACTGCAGTGTTACTAAATTGCAGTTTAAGCTGGGAAAGTGTATTAGTTACTTGCTCTATTTACAAGCTTCACAGCTGTAGTCTGGCTGTTTCCCACTCTCTCATTATTTACTCTTCCATTTTTTGCACTGCTTGTCTTGAGCTTTTGTTTATGTGCTGGCTAATCTAAATGCACAGTTAGCTTTTGAACATTTTGTACTTTTTTTTTTTTTTTTTTTTTTTTTTTTTTTTTTTTGTCAGAAAGGCCAGATATGTTTCATGCATCGCTGTCACAACCAATGTTTAAAAATCTAAGTCTAGTTTGTCATTTTTGAGAATGCAAACTTGGTAGACTTGATTATTTCTTTTAACTCTGAGCCACTCTTGCAGGTATTGTGTAAAGAAAATTGTTTCTATGGGCTTTTCCCTAATTAAAAGTGGGGAAGGAAGTTCTGATTCTTCCCCTAGAGCTCCATGCCCTGTTCATTTTTAGGAAATCAAAGAAAGAAGAGGTCAGTGCCTCCACAATATGCATGTAGTAAGGTGTAATTCTTGTGCACTGAGTTAGTGTTCTCTTTATACTCTTATACTCTTGAAAGACTTAATGGTGAAGTCCTACTACTTCAGGCACTTTCAGTGGTATTTGACCTCATGCTTAAGCTGTATTTCAATGTTTTACTGAATAAGAATTAACTAAACATGTGCATGAATCTATTTTTTTTTTATTCTCTCTGCTGGGGCCTAGGAAATGGGACCATCCAGTTCTGGACTTGCCAACTATTTGTAATCTCAGGATTACCTCTTTTGAGAATCCACTGTAAAAACAAAACTCTTAATGCCTGCCACAGCAGAGGACAGAACTTCTGATAGCATTGAAGCCCTTGGGAGTGGGCAGCTTAACCAGTTTAGGACTTGGGATTTGTATTTTCCCAGTGTTTGCTGCATTAATCTGAGTGATACTGAAAAATTCACCATGGGGACATTGATGGGAAAGATGCAGAATGAGCTCTTACCACATTCATCACATGGATGCACAGTAGCTTCATTTTTAATCATATTGATTTTAAAAATGCATGAGCAAGGGAGGAGAGTCTTTGACTATCGTGTTTTAAAATGGTAATAATAGAAAACAAAACCAGGAGCCTTATGAACAAAGGTGGGGTGTTAAAGAGAGAAAATGAGTTTGTAGCTGCTTATGAACAACCCTTTTCTTGGCAATATCTTCCCTTCAGGTACTGCCTTTGCTTGCTCAGAGCAAATGCCCCACACGAGTAGACACAAAGGTGCTTTACACTACCACAGGATGAAAGTTTCTGAAATGGAAATGGATCTTTTAGCAGCATCTCTAATCCTGTGATGTTTATTTCAATGCCTATTATGTTTCTAACCTAATGTACCTTAACCCACAAAACTCTTAATCTTTGAGTTGCTCTTTTACCTCAGAGGTAAAAAGTTGATTGCACCATTCTCGTTGTGGTGCCTGGGTTTGTTTGATTTCTCTACAACACCAACAAGTAGACTTGCAACGTGCAGAAAGCAAAGATGTTTTTCCTATTCATTAGATTATCTGTATTTTTCAGTAAAAGGGCAATCAAATTAAACCCATGCAAGCAGATAAACTCCCTTTTATAAATTGTTTATAAATCTTTTCATCCTAAAACAGGGCAGCAAGTCCTACAAAGTCATGCATTTTTTTTTTGCCAAATGTCACCCCAGACAAACCAGAAGCCCTGTTTGCATTTCTGTGACTGGTCCAAAGCTGAAAAGTGGTATAAACTCCCTTTTATAAATTGTTTATAAACCTTTTCATCCTAAAACAAGGCAGCAAGTCCTACAAAGTCATGCTTTTTTTTTTTTTTTTTTGCCAAATGTCACCCCTGACAAACCAGAAGCCCTGTTTGCACACCCACACACTAAGGCAGCACAGAATCTGAAAAATAGAGAAGCTAAAACCTGAGGGATCACTCCAGCCTTTCCAGAGGTCATGTGCCCAAAATTCAACCCTGTGCCTGCCTGCACCCCCTGTTACTCCCAGGCTCTTGTTTCATCTGGCACAGAACTCTGCAAACCAGCAGGAAAGGCTGGCTGGGAAGAGCAGAGCTGTAGGGTCAGGGCTGGGGATGAGGATTTTGCACTGCTCCATGTCTCAGGCAAGCACCAAAGCTGCTGTCAGGGGGATGTCAGACAGGGGCTCCTGTTTTCTTTGCCATACAAATTTCAAGGAGAATCTGGCAGTTTGTCCCCTTACTGGATTGCGGCAGCTCCTCAGGGCACTTTCCCAAGTTTTCCCCTAGGAATCCCAGCCAGCCCCTCAGCCCATGGGGATTGTGTGGTCAGAGTGTCCTGGGCAGGGTGACATGAGCAAGGGTGACATCCCCAAGGGTGACATGTCCAAGTGCCAGGCTGCACTTCAGCTGGCAGGAGCTGAGCTCGAGCTGTATCAGCATTAGCAAATGTGGTTTTCATCAGGCCTATCTCAGCTGGTGAACCATTTGATTAGACAGATTTCAAGTGTTTTTTTCCATGTCATGACTAAGATGAGATAGGAACTTGAAATGTTGGGCCAAGTTAAGCTAACAATTGCAGCACTGAAGCTCTACCAGAGTTACAAAAAACCACACTGACTTGGCAATAAATTGAAACCTTTCAGGTCCTTTCTCAAGTTGCAGTCCAGAGGAACAGCTGAACATAAATTTTTCTTACTTCCTGTTCTGTATTTACTGATTTCATCATTCTTTCATAGTTTGAATATTAGGTTTAGACATTTTTTACACCTCTGCACTACACAGAACATGAACATATCCTTTTGGCATGGCTGAAGTGCCACAGAGATGGATCTGACAGCCAAGAGCATAGAGGAGAAGCTCATGTCCCTCTTAGTCTGTAAAGAGATACCAAACAATATGAAACCCCAAAACATGAAAGACAAAAGGCAACACTGCTACAGATATCCCAGGACTGAGAACCTCAGCTCATGGTGAGACCTCAGGGGCAGTTTTGGTGCAAGTAATTCCCTGAATGAATGAGAAACCCATCTCTGCTGCTTTTCTTGCGATGTTCAACCAGGCACTGTTAAAAGCTGTTCTCAATATCCTGACCAGGCTGCTTGGAAAATCCCCAGGCCCAGGGAAGACCTGTGGGATTAAAATTACAATCTAACCCCACAATGAAGATAATTGGGCTCACAGAACCCTGCCTCTGACTGCTGCTCACTCCACATCTTGGACACCATTTCTCATTAAGGAAGTATGGAATTACCAGGGTTTCCTTTAAAGCAAATCTTTTATCCTGGAGCCAGGAGGGTGCGAGCTGTGTGTTTCATCCTTTCATTCCTTTTCCCCACCCACTTCCTTTTCTACTGTAGAGCAATAAGTGAACTCTTTGTGATCTCTGCTTTCAGGAGGTTTCATTGCCCAAGCTGCTCCGTGGATTATCAGCGACTTCCCAGCTAACAGATGGCTGGAAGTGACAGCAGTGCTGCAAGGAATTAAGGAAATTATTTCCAGCTCGGGACTGGTCTCATTCCCTACGTTATGCAGCTTTCAAACATTTTCCATCCACTCAGATGAAAATTTGTGTATCATTTACGGAACACGAACAAAATCTCTCTGAAGCAAAATTTCCAACCTCGAGGCGAGTTGTTGTTTTTGGAGTCATCATTGGGCAAGGGCTTGAGGGAAATCCTATCCTCTGTAGCTGGGCCAACAGCACTGTAAACTTAAAGATGATCTGTCTTTTTCTGAGCTCAAGATTAGGCAAGGAACCAGCCTCTCACTGAGCCAGTAGCAGCAGTCAGAAAAACTACTGAGTGTGGCAATATTTTTGGGTAATTGTTTGTGTTTTTTATTTTGACTCTTTCTTCTGGTTAGCTAAAAATTCCCTTTTGTGTGCAGGCGTCTCCTCTTCTGTGAGAGGAGAGCTGCCAAAACCCGAATCAGTCTTTTTTTCTTCTTCTTTCATTTTTGAAAAAGAGAGGCTACAAGTTAGGAAAACAGAACTGGGAAGTGCTGAACCTTTTCAGGACTCAGCATTTTCAAAGAGGGATGCTCAAGGATGCAACTGACCCCCAGAGGGGTGGGAATGGATGGAAAGGGAAAGCTGCAGGGCTGGGAACTGCCAAAGGTAGATTCTGTTCAAAGTTTTCAAAGTGCTAAGGTCCTTGTGTATGTAACTGATGTCCCAACAGGGCTCTTAAACTGCACAGAAAAAGGAGGGGAAAAATCAGTTAACATTTTTACATTTATCAGTTTTAAAAGGTCTTCATGGTGTGCTAAATAAAATTGAGAAAGGCATAGTAGTAGCTAAAGTGACATAGACAACATCTGCATTCAGCCAAGTCCCAGTTTTGGTCTCAGGGGAGCTGTAACTATACCCTGAAAACCATTATTTACCTCACTGTTGTTTCCTAATTTGCCTCTGGGTGGGTGCAGCAGGGAACTAAAATCTCCAGAATCGTGATATGGGTATGTCCTGACAACTTAAATTTTATTTATGTGGCAGCAATCTTCTATTGAGCAGCATTTTGCTTCAAGGCGTGTCTTGCCTCACCAATTTTTGAGCATCTGGACCACAGCAGAACGAAGCACCCACTCCCCAGAGGATGTGCAGACATCACTCCCACCCTCTCTTTGGTCTTTGTGGTCTCCACCCCACTCCTTCACCCTTCCATTTTACACAAGCATAACCTACACCAGGATTATTGCTTTTATTCCCCTCTTC